TATTCTCTGGGAAGCGCCGTTGGCAGCCAGGCTCATGTGTGCTCCCAGAGTTCCCTGGGTTTTCTTCTACCAGAGCAGTGATCACACAACACAGCAACTGCCTGCTATTTATGTTTCCTCTACCCAACTGTCATGAATTCCTTGAGGGCAAGGACTGTTTTCTCTGTATTCTTAGCACCGAAAACAGGGACTGACACACAAAAGGCTCTTTCACTGTTCGACAAATACACATCAAGCACTTGCTATCTGCTACCACTGTATTAGCACTGATGGGGGAATGAGGGAGATATGGCCTCTGACTTCAGGGGCCTGGTTTGGTGGTAAGTCCTACAAAAGGCACCAGGGTGGATCCACTAAGGAACTGATGCACAAGTTGGGGGAGGGGACGGAAACCCAGAGAGAAAACAGCACATGGAGAAAAAGTCTTCTGTGGTCAGAGTAAATGGAAATTGCAATGGAGAAGAGACCCAAATATGCAGAGCTAGGAATACCACAGTAAACTTTCTGGCTCTGTCTCCAAGAGTGACAGGTAGCCACTAAAGGGTTTTAAGCATTAGGGCGCTGGTGTTGGCTCTGGCCAAGACTTCCACAGGGCCAGTCTTTCAGCAAGCACTCATGACTGACCGCCACCTCACCTCAATGCTAAATGCTGCTCTAAAGCCTACCAAACCCTCTCCTTCATGGCTTGGCACCACTGCAAAGGCGGCTCATCCTCCTCCCCGATAAATTCTGATGTCCTTTAAATCAGTTATCTCCCAAGTTTTTGAATGTACACTCCCCAAGAAATGCATTTTTCCCATGCAGCCCCAATAACACATTCATTTACAAACTATATTCACGCTCTACTCTGCTACTATATACAGTATAGAATGCACATGACTTAAAATGTGGAAAAGGTAGCTGCAATTATAAGTTATTTTATTTCCACACAATAATGGCTCGTCTTCCACTCTAGAGATCACTGAAAGCCATCTTATTTTTAAGCACTTATTTTTACCTCTCCTTTGTCTACTACCACTCCCCATTTTCTTTGCTAGAGGAGTTAACTTCTCGGGTAGAACTCAGAGTATGGGTCATCCCTGCCTCCCTTGCCCCTCCAGCTTTCCTTCTTCCCTCTCTCCTAGTACCAAGTTTCACACAGTAACTTTCACATAAGTCCATTTCATCTCCAAGAGTTCATTAGTTTGGGGCGATCTAAGGATGGAGCCCAGCGGAAAGGATACAGGCAGTAGCAGTGTGACGTTACCCGTCGTAGATGAAGCAGTATTAAACACGCAGGGACGCGGGGAAGAGCGCTCGGGGATGGGCCCAAAAAAAAAGATGGAACGGGAACAACCGACTAGGAACCTAGAAGGGTCCTGAGACTAGGGATGGACAAACTTCAAGTCCACGTGCTTCCAGAAACATAAAGTTTACGTCTCCGCCAGCAGACCTGAACAGAATTCCGGCCACCACTCAACGTGGAGACGAAAGCAAGTGACTTCCGTTCTCTGAGCCTGTTCCCCTATTTGCAAGCCTGATGTGGGCATCGCTGAAAGAGACAACTGCCCAGGCGCAGCTTACGTTTCAGGAAAGAAGGTAGGCTGGGAACACAGACGCCCCAGTCTCACCTTACCTCAAAAGATGACTCCAACTCGTCCACCAAGGTACTGTTAGAAGTTCTCGGAGGGCCTGGCGCGGCCTGAAGAAGCGAAGCTTGGCCCCTGGAGTCCCCAGGGTGTCCAGGTGGCTGCCCGGAGAACATACCTCCCAGCGGAGCCGCCATTTCTGGAACGGCGCGCAAGAGGCCGGCTGCGGCTGCGCAGGAGCTGGCGCGCGCAGCTCACGTGGCACGCCTAGTCATGTGCCATTGCGGGCCGCCGCAGGCGTCCATGGGGCTTCAGGGAAACCGCGGGTTTGACAGCCTTGTTTTGTCCTTTGCTGCTGGTAGGCGGCCAGGCTTTTCTTTTTATTTTCCTAACTTAAGCATTAAAGGCTTTGACACGATTTGACGCTGTTGTGGGGAGTGGAGAATCAGTAACTACGGTGGAGCTAGCCCTTCCCTGGGAGTCGGGATACTCCTGTGCAAGTCCCGCCTTTGCCTTTAAGATTTGGAGTGATTTGGGCCAAGGCTCGCTCTCTCTCCGGGCTCAGGTTAACCGTTGGTAGGAGGGAGGCACCCGTTCATTCCACAGTTATTGAGCGCTTTCTGTGCACCAGTGACCAGTCACTGTGGATATAACAAGAACAAACTGGCAAAGCTACCCTCACGTTCTCTGTGCGGAGAGGCGGGTAGCAAAAACACTAACGTTGTTAAGCCTCCCTGTCTGTGTGCCTGGCACTGTTCGCCTTGGATATTTATGGTTGCATTAAAGCCACTATGCGGTCTTTCAGTAACTTCCTTTTAGCATTTATTTATCTTTTCAGAAGCTAAGGTTTCTTTTCCCATTGTATTTAATTTTAAAGTTATCCAGCACATTGATTGAGCCTTGCGTGTCCTAGGCTGTATTTAATCTGGGGTTTTAACAGTCACCCCAAGTCTCTGTTGTCATGTTTACTGTTTCTGTGGGAGGCACACACACACACACACACACACACACACACACACACAGCAATATCTAGTAGAGATAAGTGCTAAGAAGAAAAATGAAACCCAGTAAGGTGATGATGGCTAGTGATGGATTTGAGATGGGTAGCTGAAGTCCTCTCAAAGAGATCTGTGCTGGAGTGACTGGAATGAAAATGTAACCAGAAAACTTTTCTAGATTGGGGGGTGGGGGTGGGGTGGGGGGTGTTGAAGAGGGAACCTGCCTGGCATATTTAAGGAACCACAGAAAGGCCAGCAGGGATGGAGTGAGGGAGGCAGAGCAGAAGTAGCCAGAAAAAGCAGAGGCTCCCCTTTGCCCATCAGGTCTCAGATCAAAACTCATCTTCCCCGTGTCAATCTAAATTAGCTCCACACTCCCAGCCACTTCACCCTGTTTAATTTTCTTTACAGCACTTAAGTATTACATGAAATTACCTTGTTCATTTGTCTTCCTTGACAAAATCACCTGACACACATGCACCAACAGGAATGCAGGCTCCATGAGATTGGGGCCTGCCTGTCTTATTCACCTGCATTCTCAACACCCAAAACTGCCAGGCATAATTGTTGAACAAAAATATAATGCATAAGGGAACTAGTGGACTCCAGCAGTTCTCAAACTGTTTTGGGTCTTAGGACCCCTTTACATTCCCAAAATATTACTGAGTGCTACAATCATTTTTGTACTACAAACATGTATGGGTTGTGTCAGTATTTATTCAATTAAAACTTGGAATAGGTAAAATATGTATTAAAACTGAGAATTTAAAAATACATATATTTAAAAATAAGCCAGTTAATGTTAGCATCAATATTTTAATATTTATCTTTTATAAAACAAAACAAAAAAAAAGTCAGAAGAGTTGGGGTCACTTTGTTTGCAAAAATAGAAGACTAACGCTTCTCACCCTCATGTAGTCTTCAACCCCAGTGGCCATCTGGGACTGCAAGAGAGCCTTGAGGCTGGGTGGTGATATACATTTCCCAGCCTGGATTTTTGATGACCATGGGGCTGCTTCAGTTTTGGTTTCTCTACTTCAGCTACCTCTTAACACTATTGTATTCTGAACCACTACTGTTTTGGATTTGGTGCTTGCCATAGCCATGCCTGGTCCTCAAGGATAGACATGGGTAATACCGCCTGCCTCTGAGCGTGGTTGAGATCAGTCAAGGGTTTGTGTAATACCTGGCAGCCAAATGTACCTGCAATGACAACTAAATTTCATCTCAGTCAGATTAGATAAGCACATGAATCCAGGGCTAAGTCATGCCTCTTGGATCCCACACTCTGGTAAACACAGGAGTTCTGCTGTTCCTCTGTTTGTAAAAAGCGTTTGATAGAAAGCTTTCTATCAAATCCCTGCTTCGCCTTCTGAGTCACTGAGAAGAAATCTAATTCCAGTTTCCCTTCACAAGCCAGTGGTTCCACCTCTCCATCTTCCCTGACAAAGGAGCTTCTGGACATGGATACCCAGAGGAACCTGTTTACTCACTATTCCTGCCTGATTTTCTTTAATTCTAACAAATAACACAAATACGCATGCCCATATCCATTCCCTCCCTATAAACCACTTGAGACACATAACATCCTCTTATATGTCAAATTTTTAAAATATTAAAAATAGGGGTGCCTGGGTGGCTTAGTCGGTTAGGTGAGCAACTCTTGATTTCGTCTCAGGTCATGATATCAGGGTTGTGAGACTGAACCCTGTATCAGGCTCCATGCTCAGGGGGGAGTCTGCTTGAGATTGAGATTCTCTCTCCGTCCCTCTGCCCGTGCCCCCTGCATACTCTCTCTCTAAAATAAATAAACCTTTAAAAAATAATAAAATATTAAAAATAACTCCAATGAACAGGTTTCTTATCAAATGTTCAGTCCTAAAAAAAGAAAAAAGTATAGATAGATCCAACTCAGGGGTAATTTGTTCACCTAGATACAAAAGAAAGAAAGAAAGAAAGCTTTGTCCTAAATCTGCATAAGTAGAATTTTGTTGATTGGTTGTAGTCCCAGGTGGTAAGCAAATACTTTACCTATGAACAGTCTCTTTTATTGGTCTTGTTCCTTAACTCAAATATATTCCACATCCACTCAAGTCACTGAACTGACAGAAAGCATTACAGTGTAACAATTAAGAAGCCAGCTCTGGAGGCAGGCTCCCTCCTGTTTAAATCTCTGCTCTCCCACTTAGTAGCTTGGTGACATTGTTGACATGTTCTTAACCCTCTCTCTGGTGCCTATTTTCCCCATCTGTTAACATGGGGATAATAGCACCTACCTCACCAACTGATAAACTCATCACTGAGTGCCCTAAAGTGATTATTAACATTGAGAAAATGCTGTACCATCTTACTTAGTTCACCTAACACAGCCAAAAGAGACAAGTTATGCTATTACTAAGTGTACAGTAATACAGAATACCAGAGCCACACCAGAAAGCACAAAAAGTTGATTTATTATTTCTGACAATTGCATAGTAACCTTTAATTTATTCCTCGCATCACAAATCTAAAGGACAACTTTGCTCAATTAAAAACATATACTCTGAAAATTAATCAGGTAGTTTTTAAACATTTGATCATTTATAGAATATCTTAAAAATCTTTGCCAAGCAAGAGATTAGCTTTACCTTTATAAATCTCTACATAAAATGAACAAATCAAGGCAATCAAATTTTCTTTTGTTCTACATTTTTAAATACCACCCTTTGTTTCTTTTGAAATATTTTCATCCATTCATTCAAAAATATTTTGAGGCTCAACTGCCCATTTAAAACAGAATGAGAGAGTTTTAGAGGATGTGAACTAAACATTGTTTTGACTGAACTGAAGCAAGAACTCTATCAGGGTCCTTGTGGGCCTCCCAGTCATGCCCTTCCGCAGATAGGGAACCTCATCTTTGTTGGTCATCACACCTGCTATATCTAAATGTGCCCACTTAGGATGAGTCACAAATTCTTTCAGGAACGCTGCAGCTGTACATGCTCCCGCAGACCTGAAGAGAAAGACAAAAATCATTGTTTAACCCCATGTAAACGTGCAATGAACATTTCATTAAGATCCTCTATTCTTGCTAAGTAGCTTCTATGACCAGAGAGCAAAAGTCAAGTTTATGAGATTAAAACGTAACACAAAAACCACTTTCAGAATATTTATTTTCAGACATAGCTTTAAGCAATAAAGGGTAAATTCTAGATTCCTCTTCCCCATGGTAATGAATTCACCTATTTTTCATCTCTTTCCCTTATGATTTGTTTAAAATGACTCAGCTGTGAAGACATGCAAAATTTTGAGCACCAGATGTAAAATACCTTGAAAATTAAAGATGTTTGAAATTAGTGCTTATGAGCACTGTATCAAAAGGGAATTGGCTACACTTCTGTGAAAGGGCATAAAATTTAAAGTCATTTTGGTAACCAATGACTGTAGAAATGTACTTTCATAGCTCCTTTTACATACCTATATTTTCCAATGTTATTAATATCAGCAAGCTGGCAATCTACAACTTGTTTTGTATAATGTTCAAAGAGAGGCATCCTCCAGACACGATCGCCCGTTTCAATGCTGGCCTAAAGAAGAAATAGGTGTAATAGTTGGAAGACTGCATGAAGTAGGACACTGATGTATTCAATGATGGAGAGAAAGAAAACTGTTCTGACCTGTTATTCTAAAACAGGTAACTATTCAACCGGGTCCAGAATCATTTCAGTTAATGAAAAGATTTACTTAAGAATTATAAAAGAAATCAGGAATGTTATAAAACATCCCACAAATTTGTAGGGCATTCGCTAAAATCATCAATTCTTACGGATCTCAATTTACAGTACGCTGGTATCCAGCAGTACATTGACTATGGGACTGATTATGGGGAAATAGCCTTTGTGATGCTTGTCACCTCAGTGTGCTAAAGAATACATGCCTGAAACTGCACCACTGAAGACCAGAGTCCAAGACAAGGTGACCTTATTCATTCACATAATCATATACACACTCATTCACATTCATCATTTACTGAATCTTGACAGAGCACCACCAGGTGTTGAAAAGAAATTCAACATCTGAGCCATCAGAAGGCTCTGAGGCTGGTAGGAAAAACAGATACACAGACTGTTTTAATACACTGTGGTCAGAAAGAAGACCCAAAAGTGAAAAGTCAGGAAGCAGCAACAGAAGCTGTTATTTGGAGACATGAGTAAACAGCAGCTGAATGAGCCCCAGGGTTGAAAGTAGCTGCCTCTGGGAAAACAAGACTGTAGACTACTGTAGACTGCTGACTGGTATTGAAATGTTTATGCACACAGAACTTTGATTTTTTTTAAAAAGCTTAAATTGAAAAAAATCAAAACAGCACTGTAGGTGCTTAATAAAGAGGGACACTAAGTGCATGACAGGCCAGAGGAAGAGTCCACCTGCCCAGCCTGCACAGAGACAACTGAGCTGAATGTCACAAGGGTTAGGCAGGAAGGGTAAATTTAGGACCATAAACCAACATCAAGTATGTATTCAAGGACATCTTGGATTTGTCCCCCACTGGCACATAGTAAGCTCCTATTCATTACTTGTTGAAAGAGGGAGATACCAGAGGGAGTGGTCTGGAGCTCAGGAGAGAGATGGGGGCAAGCAGCAGAGAGGTGCTGGCTGAAGCCACTGGGCTTCCATGTGAAGATGCGGGGGAAAAGAAGAGAACATGGTCTAGGACTGAACACCCACGAAAGGGGCAGACAAAGGAAAAACCTGGCAAAGGAGGCTGAAACAGAAGTTGGTGGAGAAGGGAACCAGAGAGATGATCACAGCAGCGAAGAGTGGGGTGTCACCAAGAGGCTGGACTTGCAGGCTGCCTCCAGCCAGGCTAGGTAAGGCTGAGTGGGTGAAGGCATGGGGAGAGGGGTGACAGGAAATGGCTGTTTGGAAGAGGCAGGCTGGCTATGAACAGCTGTGCACGAGGCACAGCGCATGGCAGTCAGAAGACGTCCTTATCCCCGCCCACGAACGGATCAGGACAAGCCCTACTTACAACAAGCATTCACTAAAGGTCATCCTTCCTTGACAAAGCTGTTCTCATAACCTTTTCTACCTCAGGGAGTCTGCGCGATGGCCGTGGTTTGTGAGTCACTTTCACATCATTCTGAGACCACAGGAGGAGAGGAGGAATGTGGTATCACAGCTATCATTTTGGAACATTATTATAGAGAACCCAAAGCACATTGAATAGATGTATTTTCAATTCAAAGGCAAATCTATGACATAAAAATCACTTTAACATAGGAGTAGTAAAACAGTAAAAAATATTATTCTAGCTAGAATAATTTAATCATCTATCATTTTAGTCTCTATTATTCCTACCTCAAATAGTTTGTTCCACAGCCAGGATGAATTGGTAAAGACCCCAGTGGCACCGGACCCCAAGGCTATGTCCATGGCACCTGCAGGACACAAGCCCTCAGGTCAGCGTTCGGTCTCTCCAGGCATGATGGCTTTCTCTGCTGCTCAAACTAAAACTTCAGCCTGTAATTTTATTTTTTTATTTTTTTATTTTTAAGATTTTATTTATTTGACAGAGAGAGCACAAGCAGAGGGAGAGAGAGAGAGAGAAGCAGGCTCCCTACTGAGCAAGGAGCCCAATGTGGGACTTGATCCCAGGACCCTGGGATCATGACCCGGGCCGAAGGCAGCCGCTTAACCGACTGAGCCACCCAGGCGTCCCTGTAATTTGATTTTAATATCTGCTTCATTTTCATAACTAGAGAAGCTTTGAAAATCCTTACTGTATATATTTAATATCTTTCTACTTTCTCAACTAGAATTCAACTTCAATAATTAAGGAAAATGTAAAAAAGGAAACAATACCAAATATCACCAGTAATCTCATCCTCAGCATTAACCATTACATGTTTTTAATGTTTCCTTCCAGATTTTTTTCTAAACTTTTAAAAAACATAATTAAGACCATACTGTTCATGTCCAAGTACGTGTTCTTCCTCTTATGCTTTAAACATTTATTCCACTTTTAGAAACAAATGTTAGAAAGTAGTTTTAATGATTTTAAAAGTCCATTAGGTAGAGGTATCATAATTTACTTTCTATGGGACATTTAGGCATCTCTAATTCCTCAATATTTTTAATCACATCTGTAAGATTCTCTGCTATTAAGATTCTCTGCCCCTTTTTCTTTTTTTTGGAAAAAAGTATTATTATTTTATCATACCTATTTGTTTCATCTGCATTTCCTTCTCCAACAAAGGTGCATCCATTGGTTGACTTCTCTTTTTACATTTATATATATATTTTAAAGATTTTATTTATTTGAGAAAAGAGAGAGAGAGCATGAGAGAGAGCACAAGCAGGAGGGAGGGGGAGAGGGAGAGGGAGAAGTAGGCTCCCCACTGAGCAGGGAGCCTGATTCAGGACTTGATCCCAGAGCCCTGGGATCATGACCTGAGCCAAAGATAGACGCTTAACCGAATGAGTCACCCAGGTGCCCCTACATTAATATATCTTTAAAAATCAAGTTAAAATCCAGATTTCCAAGTTCTTTGTGGGCACACATTCCTGAGCACCTACCTCCATTAGAATGCTGCAGCTTAGCGCCACCTTCTCTGGTTCTGGTACCAGCTCCCAGCAGTTTCATTTGTTACTCGCCTGGCCCTGGCTGCAAGCTCTGGGGCAGGGATCATGTTTGATTCCTAAGTATGCGCTTAGGGCCTAGCACATTGCCTGGCACACAGGAGCTCAGTATTTATGCAAAGGGAAAAGCAAACCCCACTATCATTCAGTACTAGGACACTCCTGGAACATCAGAGGAGACACCACAGAAGACGAGGGCAATTTTATAGTTTTCACAAGGTGGTACTTGCTCCCTGTAATACAAGGCGTGTCCAGGTTGCTCCTTAATCTTTAACTGCGGCTTTTCATGGACTGCTTGTTAGCATCTCCCCCAAGGAAAATGGATACTTGAAAATACAATTCTATACACTGTTTTGTAGACTTTTTTTTTTTTACAATAAACAAAACTTCCCACATCCTTCCATTTCTTTGCAGTTGGGATTACTGGTTGTAGGACACCCAATGAGTGGATCCCCTAGACTTGCATGTTTGTGGGTTAATATCTGCACACATCTCTGATTTAAGAAATAGAGCTCAGAGCCATCATTTCATTTTGTTAATCTTGGTTAACCCCCCGGCCACACACACACACACACACACACACACGATTACGTGGACTCTCCAGAGAAGAGAGTAGCACTTTAAAAATCCATTCCTCTGTGTCATGAGGGCTCTAGATTGTACATTTTCCCCAAAACATCACAAGGAAATTACGTATTGTTGGTTAATCATAAGGGATGGCAAACCGTTGACAATTTAAAAAGTAGTGACCCATTTGTAAAACCCTGTGATTCTGCATGACATCTGAGCAACCTCGGTCTGTTTGGTCATTTGTCCTTCAGGTTTTGTTACTCTCTACCTCCCAATTCTCTCTCAAGCCTATCCACTTCTCCCTACTGCTACTGCTACCATCGTCATCCACAAACTGGACTATGGTAATAATTGTCTTAAAAAACAGCAACAACAACATAAACTTCTGGGAATTTCCAAATACATACGAAGAGAATAGTATAATAAATGCACAGATAGCTGTTAACCAGCATCAGCAATTACCAACTCATGGGCAAACCTGTTTCATCTATAGCCCCTGCGCAACAGATTATTTTGAAGCCATCTGCAGACACCCTAACATTCATCCACGATACACACACTCAGGCATCTACAAGAGTCAACAAGCACACTGCTCACCCGCCTACCTGGCCGGCCCGTTACCTTGGGCCCTTCTCCAGGGCATTCTGCACACAGCCAGCACGGGCCCTTTCACGGCACAAACATGATCTTATTGGCCCCATAGCTTCCTGCTGCACTTGCCTCAGGACAAACCCCAGTAACACATCAAGGCCAAGCTGGGGTCTGGTGCCTCCTAGAATGTTGGCCTCGTGCGCCCACCCCAGCCACACCGTGCTCTTCCCAGTTCCATTTGCCGTTACCCCACACACCCCAAAGTGAAAGGTGCCCTCCGCTGGCATGATCTTCCTTCCCTCCTCCACCCAGTGCTGCTTCCTCCTTCAGATCCCAGCTCAAGCAGCAGTTCTCAGCAAGATGCCTGATCCTCAAAAGTAAGACTGTGATATCCTCTACTAAAGCAGTAAGAAATGACAGATGTAAATATTTAATATGATCCCAACTGAGATCAAGGCTCTAAAGCTGATTCCATTACATTCTTTAGAAAATGCTCTATTTTCTACATATGGTGACAGAACTGCTACCATCACCGATTTCAAAATTACCAAGAGCAGAGGCCTACGTTCCGTATTCTTTTCTGAGGCCCATTTGGAGCCAGAGGTGCTAACTGATCAAGTTACCCGAACTGTCACAGTTTCACAGAAACATCAAAGCTCCAAATCTAAATCACAACCATGCATGAGGAAAATGGAAACAGGCAGCACAACTGAATGTCCATCCCCGGAAGAAGCCATGGCTCCTACAGTCTGGTATAGGCCTGCCTTTTCCAGGACAGTAACACTGGTTTAGTGTCTGCCAGGCCAGGGACATCAACCTGGATCATCTCATTTCATCTGCATAGACACCCCTCCTGTCAGTGAGATGCTATTATACCCTTTTTACAGATGAGGTTTCTTTGGCCTTGTCCAAAGTCCCATGCTATTAAGATGCAGGACAAGTTTTAAAATCAGGTCCTCCATCTCTAAAGACTGTGTACCTCCTCCCACCACGAACCTGGGGCTGGAAAGTGTTTCTTATTCTTCCCTTTGATCACAGCGACTGGAACTCAGAAGGGGCTCGGTGAGTATGTGGGCAACTTCAGCCAGGCCAACACGTGGGCAGTGGAAAGGCTCACCCATCAGCTTGCTCTTGGGTACCTGGGGCCAACTTTCCCACCCTCAGACTAGGAAAAAAAAGGGAAGGGGGCTATGATTCCTCATTTACAGAAAGGGTGTATTACCACCCACCTCACCACTGCCCCTCAAACACCTAGCAAATCTATGCGCTTATTGTTAAGAGCCACATAAAGGGGAAAACACGAACTGATTTCTGCTAAAGTAAAGGCTCACATGAGCAGAGGAAGAATTAAAACCAAAGGATAAAAAACTGAATTTTAATCTTAAAAGAGGCAGAGACAGAACAGAATGAATCCCCGGAAAGAGAACTGTTGGATCAAAGACTACTAATGTCTGCTTCCTGCAGCAAAGCAATACCAGTTGTCATCCCTTCGGGAATGAGTTCGTGACTCCACAGACCCAGTGGGCTTCTAGCCTTCCTTCAGCCAATGTTTGCCACATGCAGGGGCTGAGTTAAAGAGGCTACCTACAAACCCCTCCCAAATTCCACCACTCTGTGGGGGTAACGCGCGCTTCCCAGGTACTGATGTCCCAGGGGGATCAGGTAACTTGCCCAAGGCTGAAGGGCTGTAAGTGGCCCTAGGAGACAGTGAGTTGGCATGGAGCTCATGCTGCTGCCGCGCACCTCACGCCACCCGCCTGTTAAATGACGACCTTCCCATCCCCCCCCAACAATGTTTTTGTTTCTTTGTAACACCAAGAACAAAAAGTTCAGAAAACTCAGCCAGCATCAGATACGTTGACTAATACAAACAGCTCCTGATTTGGGGATCTGTCGCTAATATTTTCAGATCTGTATCAAACAGCAATCATACCATAAAACATCTTAGTGTCATGTGCAGAGGTGACTCTGGATGGGCTGATGTAACCTGCTTGTGACTTCTCTTTCTAGAGTTACAGGCTGGAATGTTTTAAAACAAGAAAGCTAATGTTTAAAACAGTTTACAGCTGCAGAACAATTTCCCTAGTGAAACATATTTGAATGCAAGCGGAGCAAGCCAACTTTCAGCAAAATCATGCCTCAAGTTAACGTGCGCACCACCCTACGCCAACAAATAGGGCTTTCTTCAAACAAACACAGGAAAAGCACGCTGGTTGACCTGTTAGGGTGGCGGCGTTGATGATGACCTTTGGGTTAAAGGTGTGCGCATAACAAAGTGCATCAGCCAGTATAAGCCTCCCCTCAGCATCGGTGTTATCAACCTGCAAAGAGAAGGATCAAAAAAGTTAGGGTAAGATGACACAAGTCAAGAATATCAAAACAAGATACAACACTGTTCAACTTAAAAGTGAGAAAAGCTAGTGTGACATCTGTCCAAGTACCACATACTCAAGCTTCAATTAGAATAGGAAGGTATTTACTCTGAAGAGCAAACATAATTTAATAATCCCTGTAGCAGAGCTGATGACCAAATGCTAATGACTTTAGAAGCAGAAATAAATAGAAAATGTCTGGCCCACTGTACCAACAAGTATCTAACAGGAAAAAGGAAAATTTCAAGATTGAAAACAAAGAAGCTAAAGAGTTTCGGAAGGTTATGGCGAGGTGGCAGTCTGGCTCTCCAGACAGAAGAACTCTTGCAACTTCAGCAACTTTACAAAGTTTTTTAAAGGAGGCTCCACACCCAGCATGGAGCCCAACGTGGGGCTTAAACTCACGACCCTGAGATCAAGACCTGAGCTGAGATCAAGAGTCCCTCCTTTTTTTGTTAGTGTCTGTGTTTGGTCGTGTGCCTGGGACAGGGTGTACCTGATTCTGCCTGGACTGGTAGAGGCCAGAGTGTTATTTTGGTGCGCATACGTTTTGGTGACTGTGTCTCTGTGGTTTCTTATGAAATGCAAGAAAAATTCCTGTTTCTTTGTCATGCTGCCTGGGAAACAAGCCCCCTCCCCGGCTCCTCTACATTTCTAGAAAAAACAATCTTATTGATCATATCATTTTCATATAAAACCACCTTCTGGGGACGCCTGGGTGGCTCAACCATTAAGCTTCTGACTCTTGATCTTGGCTCAGATCTCCATCTCAGGATCGTGAGTTCGAGCCCCTCCTTGGGGCCACACTCAGCGTGGAGCCTACTTACAAATAAAATAAAATAAAAAATATATAAAAACCACACACACACACACATACAAAAAAGAGTCCCTCCTTTTAAAGAGTGGCCAGGCATCATGGGCGGTGTGTGCATGCATGCAGGTGCCCCAGCAGAGGACCCTGCAGCCACATCCCCACGAGTGCAGAGTCCATGATGCAGGATGGTGTGTTCCACCTGAACCCCAAAAGGAAGAAGTTAATCATGGCCCAGGTCTATCTCTAGAAAACAGCTCAGGCTTTTCCTGCTTTGCCATGCTCTGCAGGGCTTGCTGTAGATTTGCGGTAATTTGTGTGTGTATGGCTTACAGGAGGAACAGTAAGATAGGGAAAATACTTTTATAATTCCCATAAAGAAATACTTTTGACTTTGCAGGAAAAGCTACTTGCAATGAAGACACTGCCCTCCCTAAATGGAGCCCATGCTCTGAATGGAAATTCAAGGTGTGCTTATGTGGTCACTGGAGGTTCCACCTCTTGGATCACCAGAATGGGCAGGGCTACGTTTGGCATTCACACACCTGTATGGTCTTCCCGTTCTTGGCTTTGACGACATCCCCAGGCTTGTTGGCTTTACCACTGGGCATATTTTCACAAAGAGGGGCCAAACCTATTGGAAAAGCATATATGAAGGAACATGGAATGTGCTGGGTCTACACTCACCACCCAAAGGACCAAGGCCACTGGTGGGCCATCAGAAGTATGCCAGACACCACCTTAACCAAGTGATAAAATTTAGCATCACCAAGGACCCAACTGACATCTTGTGTGCCAGCCACAGGAAGTGCAATCACTCAGGTAGTGTTCCAACCAAGGAGTCTAACCCGATTCTGTCATGAAGAAACAACCAAATACGTCCAAATTGTGGACCATCACAAGACAAGCCTGAACTCTTCAAAACTGCCAGTGTCATGAAAGAAAGAAAAAGGGCAGGAAAAAGTTTCCGGATTAAAAAATATTAGAGACGTGGCAACCACATGCAATGTGTGATCCTTAACTGGCTCTTAGGTTTCAAAAATAAAAACAAGTAAATGTGTGTGTGTGTCTATATACAAAATGAACATTTTTGTAGACAACTGGGAAGTCTGAATTAGGTGACTGTATCAATCCCTGTGAATGACAATGGTATGGTCATTACACAGGATGTCCTTGTTCTTAGAAGACAGACACATGCTGAAGCATTCGGGAGTGACATGTCATGTCTGCAACTTACTTTCGAAAGTTCGGCCAAACAGGGCTAGGATATCAGCAGGGACGGGGAAGGGCGCCTGTGAGACAGACCTGGAGTCCAAGTACACCTTCCCTTGGTGTAGCACAAGGGACGTGACGCTGGGAAAGTCATTAACCGAAGCCCCCCCCACCCCCCCACTCCTCTGAAACATGGCAAACTCCCAGCCTTGGGTGTGGCATCTGGAACTCCACAGAGAGCTGGTGTGGACTGAACACTTCGTCTCAACCATTTTCTGTATATGCTGCCACGTCATCAGCCACAAGCCTGATGAGACCATCACTAAATGTGCCTGCTGTGCCCTTCCACCATGACTACTGAGCAGTTTTCACTGGAGTAAACCACAAACTTGACATTATGTGCCCCTAACTGCTAAATGCTTTTTGCAAAAGTACAAAAAAATCAATTCTAGCTATAGCCCGTGACTGCAAAACGCATTTAACTCAATCAGTTCAGACAAGACAACACTTAGCTAAACAGCTTCTGTTTGATGAAAACCATTTCTTGATCTTTTCAGGTTGGAGGAAGCCAAGTCTGCTGTCTGGTCTGTCGTCTGACTGGATTCCAGAACTCTTCAGGACACCCCCCTTTGCCCCCTCACCTACGATGTTAATGGGCAGGTTCAGCTTGGCAGCAGACACGATGGCCGAACAGATCGTGGCAGCTCCCCCCATGTCGGCCCTCATGAGGTCCATATTTGCAGAGGGCTTGATGGAGATGCCACCACTGTGGGAGAAAAGGACAGCATGCACCATCAGCGGCAACGAAGAGGGCCCAAATCACTTTCTTAAGAAAGAATATATAAACGGAAGCACTATCTACCTGGCAAAGAAAATTCATATTTCTGAACTGAAAATCTGAATGATTTCAACATTTTAAAAGATATTGCAAACTTTATAAAAATATAAATGTGTGTCTTAGCTCATTTTATTTCTTTTTGGATGAAATGTAAGCGGGGTCAGCGGAAACATTACTACATCACACAATCTGTGCTGCTCAAATCCCATCTCTGTATTTGCTCATTAACTCCTGACATCCAAACAGATTTGTCTTTTCAGCAAATTTTATGAATCGATCAACTTATTGAACCTGAGGGTCACAAACTGTTAAGGAAGGAAAGCCAGCAAGCTCATAAGACTGGGAGGATCTCTCTCAAGCCACGGGACAGGGAGACAACAATTCCCTCCGACACCCCTAAGGGGTGATTCATCCTGATGGCAAAATACAAACTGAATCAGGAAGAGGCACAAGAAAGATGCTCACCCAGGGGCGCCTGGATGGCTTAGTCGGTTAAGCATCTGCCTTCGGCTCAGGTCATGATCTCGGGTCCTGGGATCAAGCCCCACATCAGGCTTCCTGCTCAACGGGGAGCCTCCTTCTCCCTCTCCCACTCCCCACCCTCTGTTCATGCTCTAACACACTCTCTCAAATAACCTCTTTAAAAAAAAGAAAGAACGAGAGTTCACCCAAAGCCTTAAAGACAGCGCTCAAGAGGGAGGGGGGAAAGGTGGCGGAAGAGTAGGGGACCCTGTTTCAACTGGTCCCCGAAATTGAGCTGGATATCTACCAGACCACTCTGAGCACCCACGAAATCAGCCTGAGATGTAAGAAGATCTGGATCTCTACAAACAGAATATCGCAGGCAGTTGGTTTTGAGGTACGAAGCGTGGAGCCGTGATTCCGCGGAAAGATATCGGAGGATAAACGGCAGCGGGAGGGTGCCTGGCCATGGGGATCCTACACCGCTGGTGAGTGACA